ACTTACAGTGTAGTAAAAAGAAGATAATAAAAGTGTTAATATGTTGCAGTCATATTAAATGAGGTTAAACACATTGTCATACTTCTCAGACGAGAGATAGGTTGCATATATATCAATCTATCAGAACAAGCCCATAAGAGATGCATTCCATATAGTCTCAATCATCGTATCTGATCGTATTCTAAAGTACACCCATCTCACCTTGAGAAATTCTCTCGCTATGATAATTTTTTTGACGAACTAAAGCTCTATGATGAGTAAAAGCAGACTTCTTCTTATTTACTCAAACCATAATGAAATTAAAAATATTTTAAAAAATTTAAAATTTTGCAATAATTTTGAAAAGAAAGTGAAAAATTTGTAGAAAATAGGAAGAATTCTTAAACGAATAGTTATAATCAAAAGAAGTGGCTATAAAAAATTCGCAAGACCATGAAAATTATTTTCTTGTAGAAAATAAACAAAAATCCATTGGATTGCATTGGATGATAATCATTGTATAGAAATTTATGGAATAAAAATCTGTTTAAAATTAGTGTAGTTGATCAATATTACTAAATTAGATGATCACACAATATTTGCATAACACATTTTTAATCAAATTTCTTTATTTAGTACAAAATTTAGGAAATTTTTGTAAGCTGCATAATTTTAAGAGTTTAACAAAATGCATGCATGAGAATCAAGAAATATTAAAATATTAGTTTTCCTAAAAAAGAAATTACTTGCAATATTTACATAGCTTATACATTAAGAAAAATTAAACGAAATAATCAGTTGATCAAAGTTAATTTTAGATTTGTGTTCAACAATTTTCTCGTGATAGATTTCTTAAATATTAAATTTCAATGAACTTTCTTGATATAGAAAAAGATTAAGTATATTATAAATAAAGATTAAATCAATATAATCAAGCCACTAAGTATATAGTTTTATTTACAAAATGATTAACATTAACATATAATTCAGCCACAATTACTAACCCAATCCAGCGAACCACCAACAAAGAAAAATTCCAAGGAAAAGACCAAGTAAAAATAAAAATCCCACCCATCACCCAGACCACCCAACTGAAGTTAACACCTGAATTTCTCACAAGTCTTTGTAAAATAACTATTGCTCCAAAAACACCTCTTTTTAATGAAGGTTTTCAGCTTTCAACGTATTTATTCTTTGTTGCAATAGTTCTTTGCGAATATTTTGATCAGTTACAAGATATGCCAGTCTGTCTGCCATAAGCAATCTTTTTCTTTCTTCTTCTTGTGCTTGAGTTTGCAAGGTCGCAAACTGATTATGAACTTTACTTTTTTGTTGTGAACAGAAAGTTTTCATACATTTAACTTTCTTTTAAGCATCATTTTGAGAGCGATTGTTAAAAGGCATTTTATTTGAATATTGTCAAGAAAAGAGATTAATTAAAAAGTTTTAAATTTGAATAATTGGATCAACATATGTAGAATTTTAATATTTAAAAAAATAATTTATCACGTGATCTCAGTTAGAAAATCCTTCAAAATCAAGCTATTTATATAGAATTTTGAGTCCCATAAGTCTGGAAGTTAATAAATTTTAGCCCTATATAATGTTAGAAAAATCTATGTTTATAAGGTTAATTGCAAATAGCATGAATACAGTATACTTTCCTCTGATAGATCACATATGAATATAGCGTGCATTTTGTAAAATTCTTTATACAAATTTTTAGAAATTCAGAATTTGAGTTTAAGAACTTAGTTGACGAAGTCTATGAAAATTTTGCAGGAGCTGCAAATTTAGAGGAGAAAATTGATACCATATGAAGTCAATCCTACTGCATCATAAAGATTGATGAATGATCAACATTATTAACATCATTAGCATTTTTAACTTAGTTAACATTTTTATTTTATTTATTTTATTTTTATATTTATTATTATTATTTATTATATTAGTATTTATCGTTAAATTATAATTTATTTTTTATATTTATCTTATCATTATAAAATAGTTTAGCATTAGATAGTAAATCCTTATAATTGTATTTTTGTATAAATAGGATAGAAACTTGTCCTTGCAAAAGGGTAGAGATAACAGTGATAACTCAATAGTTCGAGTTTAAGACTTAAAATCCAAAATTAAGGATTGCTATGAATACAAATCTCTACAATAAAGGAATTTCTTTCTAAACTATACATATTAAAAATTCTTCAATGTGTCAATTGGATTTATCATGTTTACAAGTTGTTAAAGTTATTTACTCATCTAAAAGTATAAATCTAAGGTTGATTGTGATAGGACTTATTCTATAGTAACTTAGTAGTTTCTTGTACGTTACTTCTTATTATTAAGTCATAGTTGCCCTAAGTTTGACGGCTAAGCGTAGGGTTAACACTGCTATTAATTCTCATATAATCATTCCAAAGCTATAAATATCTGAAGATTCAGTATATTTATTGCTTTTTAGTCCTTGAAATACTTTTGAAACAATATAAGGAATAATACCATAATACTTATTTTCATTATCTGATAATTCAGTTGATAATTTACTAAATCTTAAATCATTTATTACTACATCATATTCATTATTACAAAGAATATTCCCACTATAAAAAGCTTGATGAATAATCCCTTGATAATGAATATTATTAAATGCTTTAATAATTAGTTTTAATATTTTTAATTTTTTATTCCATTCAATAATATTAATATTTTTATTTATATAATTATTTAAATCATATTTGTAATATTTCATAACAATTATAAATCTTTTGTTTCAGAATTTTGAGTTATTCCATAATATCTATTTAAATAAAGTAAAGTAGATATTATTTTATCATTTAAATTAGCATTATAAACTATCAAAAGCTAAATTTATAAAGGATATTAATAACAATTTTTATAAAATATTGACTTAAATTAAAATAATATACCTCATTTAATTCTTTTTTAGTAATATTTTTAGAATTATTAAGTTGTTTTAAAGCAATTATCATATTAAAATCATTATATTCAAAATCTTCTTTTTTTTTATTCTAATAAGGTGGATCATTCTTCCAAATAGCTTTATAAACTTTACTAAATTCTCCTATACCAATTATTTCAATATTTACAAATTAATTAAAAGAAATAAATAACATTCTACTAGATTTTTGAATAAAATTAACCTGTAATTATTTAATAAATTTATCAATAACTTTATTTTCACTTGGTATAAATAATAACTTAATTTGATAATAAATTATATAAATCCCATAATGATTTTGTAAAGATTCTCTTTTTTTATAACAAATATTAAATATATCATAATTATCATTTTCGGATTATTTATATATTCAATTGATGTAATTTTTTTTATATTTTCTATATTTTAAAACTTATATTATTATTTTTTGATAGTTTTTTAAACCAATAAAAGGTCTTTTCAAAATTCTTTTCAGTTATTTTACCATTTTTATAACAATTAGCAAGATTATATAGTGCATTTGTATTATTATTTTCAGCAGCTTTTTGATACCAATAAAAGGCCTTTACAAAATTCTTTTCAGTTCTTTCACCATTTTTATAAAAATTTGCAAAATCATTACCATTATCAGCAGCTTTTGATACTATTAAAATGCTAAATCATTGTTGCTTTCAGTCCAAAATTCTTTTTTATAGCATTTATCTAAATATAGTTGTGCAATAGGATAATTTCCTGCCGTTTTTAAGAAATACATAAATCCTTCATTATTATTTTCTTCTAAACTGTGAATATTGAAATATGAAAAAATTCCAAGGAAAAAAGAATATTTTGATTCATTTTGATTTTCTTTAAGCCAGTTAAATATATATCAACGGTCGTTAGAGTAGTAACTGCAATGCGATCATGAATAATTTGCTTCGTTTCTTTAGAATCTTCAACCTGTATTTCAATCATAAGTATGGCTAATTTATCCATTAAACTTTTAATATTATCTGTTGAATTAATCGTTTCTGATATAAATAAGCATTCGTCATGCTTTGTTTCTGCTTTTGACATGATTGATAAATCAAATAAAGAGATAAAAATTTTATTCTGAAAATAAGTACTTTAAAATATATTTCCTTCTTAATTTGGTTGCATACAATACTAAATGGGTAAAAAAAAAAATTTACTCCGAAGCATCATGCAAGGTACGGCAGATTTGTGATTTGTGTCGGTTTCCTCTAATAGAAATTATTGCGGAGTTCGACATATTAGCATTGTAAGATTGTTATTGGACTGGTATTTATACCCCGTTCAAGGACATACAATATTATTCTTTTTTTTTTTTTATAAAAAAAAAATTGAAACATTAGATGAAACCCATCACATATTATAATACTGTCATGTGGGACCTTTGCAATAGGAGGGACCTGCCGGAAAAAATCAACTTTACTTTTATATGTACAGATTTAGCATTAACTCATTTTTTATTTTTTTTTTTTCAGCCGTTTTCCCTTTTCTATTGCAAAGTTCCATGTGAAAGAGAAGAAGGAAACCCGGTTCGAATTTACTTAACTAGTACGGTTCAAACATACAGATCTGCAAATATTTGTTTAGTGATTTTCTTATTGTATAATTTCTCCTTTGGTTGAAGGATAACTAGCAGAGTCTTATCTATAAAACAGAGTTCATATTAATTTAAAGGAATCCTTGAATCCATAAACTATTATTCGACGGAAATTGACCAAACACACATTAACAACATTGCCGTAGTGTATAATATATAAAAATTATATAAAGGTTAAAAAAAATTTTACTTATCATTTGAATAAATTTACTTACATAGAATGTTGTTACATTGAGATATAAAAATTCGAAATTTTCAAGTAATTATAATTTAAATATACTTTTTTTTTTAAAAAAAAAATTAATGTCGTACTAAATAAAGGAGCTTTTTAAAGCAAAATATAACTAATTCCAATGTCGATCTGTAACATTTTCCTTTGGTAAAAAATCTACTTTGGTTGATCTAAACTTCACTTTTAATTTACTATTATTAAACTATCCTAGCTGTTGATCACGACCATAAACTCATGAGAATTGTTCTACCACTATAGGGTAAACTCTTTTTTTTTTGTAATAGAGCACAACTACCGCTAAACCACCAGAGATCATGACCGAATCCAATATAATTACATGAATCGAATATCGAAAATTTAGCACCTACTTGAAATATATTCATCTTGTTCACAAATATCTGAATTTGCAAACAATGCAAAATATGTATCTGATAAATTCCAGCTTAAAGGATTATATCCTCCGATCTCGGAACACTGACATTAGAACAATAATAGAAAATGAACTTGTGGAGTTACTACTAAGGACAAATCTCATTGACATCATCCTCATGGATACTATCGCAACTATAAACATCATTATTACCGCATATGTTTTTAACTTTGATAACATGCACCTTAACTAAATATTAAGGTTGGATCTTTGTTGTCGAATTTCATCAATGTATTTACGTCTATACCATCTCTACTCCTTCTCAACAGCAATTGAAATTCAACTTTATCGCTATTCTTTATACTGTTCTTGCCCATTTTTATCAACGCGTTTAAAGAATCATTACGTTTGGGTAAACGCAGCAATAAATTGAATATCCAAAGGTGGTAATTCAGTATTTGGCATCATGTGAAATTGAGTAATTGAGCCTTCAATTTCTTTCGTAAATTCTTCTTAAAAGACCAAACAAATTTGAATAATTTTCACCTAGTATTTAAAAAATCTTATATAACGTATCCACAGTAAAATGTATCTTTTTTATTTTGATATGAATAAGAGGAAAGAAAATTTTTTTTTAAATTTTACGCAAAAAACACCATAACACAAAAGAAAATGAAAAAAGAAACAAGAAAAATTATCTTATTCTATTATTATAAATTAAATTCAAAATGTTGGCGAAGCTTAATTGAAATTTTCTATAAAATATTTTTGGCTAACTGAATTTTAACCGATTGCCGATTAAAATTTTTAATGACAGCTCCAACTACTTACAAAAAGGTTGATCAAAGCAATTAAAATTAATTTTCATTGCATAAATTTGTATACTTTTGTTTCAAATTTTAAAATTTTTTTTTCTTTAAAAAAAAAAAGCTACAATGATTTAATTCCTATGCATCCTGCTGTTTCGTAGTTGAAATTTCATGTAAATATCGTTATCGCATCCGAGAGTTTGTCTTATCAAATGCGTCTTTGAATTTATTTGTCGACTCCAAAGAATTGAATTAAAGTTGTTTGAATTTCAATTTTTGAAAACCTTCTGAATAATGGAAATCCATGAAGTGTTTAATTAAATGACGAGACTGTTCGGCGCATGTCATTGTAATTTGAGGCTCTATTGTAGTAGCTTGAATAATTGATTAAATTTTGCAAAGGTCAAACAACGTTAAGGATATCTTATATATATTTTATATGAGGCGGGTAAAATTTATCCTTTTCAATATCAGTAACTTCTAAAATAAAACATTACCTGAATTCAAAATTAATTAGTTTTTACTTTTTTTTTATAAAAAAATTGATTTTATGAATGAGAGAGGAGTGAGCTTGTGATTAGGGATGCTAATGGTCACGGTCATGACCGGTCATAACCGTGACCGATATCGGTCGGTCAAAGGCTCATGACCGACCGATTCTGACCGATTTTGACCGACCGGTTGACCAACTGACTCGAGACTGAGCCACCATGTATTAAAAAATTAAGAAAATCAAAATTTTATTTTAATTATCTTTAAATTAAAATTTTGAAATTAAGTCCGCGATAATGCTGTGCCATTAAATAAATGACAAAGTAGTTTTAAAAAATGCCATGCTAGAATTGTTAAAGCAAGAATCAAAATTATAATATTTGTCTAAATTAAAACTTTCTATTAAGTCAAAACTGCTCAATTATTTTATTATTAACCGGTCGGTCAACCGGTCAGTTAAAATCGGTCAGTTAACTGGTCGGTCGGTCAAAGGCCTTTGACCGACCGTTGACCGACTACGACCGACCGTTACCATCCCTACTTGTGATATTCAAGTTTCTCTTAGTCAACTACATTAAAATTAAACGTACTAAAGTTGTAATATGGATTAAAGTTTAGACTCTATATAAATAAAATTTATACCTTAAAATTATATGATGTTTTATTCAAAATATAATGAAATTTGATATTGTTTTTCAATTAATTACAGCATCGTCGAACATTTCATCTGAATTTTAATATACGAGTCATTACATTCTCGTCGGTTCGGACGTCAAGTATTCATCCTTGAAAATAAGTTGTATCATATTTATGATATATTAAATTATTCTGACCATTTAGATAAAAATCAACCTTTTTACGAAATAATGTAATCTATAATAATATTTATAAAATTAAATATCTATGCGATTTATTATCAATGATTTTTTGAAAAGCAAAACCAATATCTCTAAATTGTGTCGATCAAACATATATATCTATAGTAATAACTAAGGTTGCCTAGCAAAACCCTAAGGATTCGACAGATATCAAATCGAAACTAAGATTTGACGTCTTGCCAAATCATTTTTTTAAAGGAAAATCGATGCGTGATAAACCATCAAAACTTTGAACAATTTTCTTCAAAAATAATTGTGCATACACATTAACATAATTTTATTTTCAATACACCACTGTCGCCTCACATCACATCTAAGAATACACAATTATATTAAGAAATAATAGCAATAATATTTTTCTAATCTATTAAAAATGCGATAAGAAATTTTTATCAAGAAAAATCTGAAAGCTCAATCAGAAGAACATATTGAGTCACTTTTTTTTGAATCCATTCCGTTTCTTTATTCCATCCTATATATATAGTATCTTTTGTTGTGTGATATTCTTGCTTACAATAATTATCATATATTTCATCTATGTCTGGAACAACGAAATAAAGATGGATCGGTGAACCATTATCCAATAGACTTCTCATTTCTTGAAGGCCGTTTACCTACATTATACGTATAATCAGTTTAATAGTAATTATTACAAAGCTAATAAAAACCAATATTACCTTAATATTATGTGTTTTTGCGATTGTCATTTGATATAAATGATGATTAGACCCATTATAGTTAGGCGTAAGAGCATCAAAAGATTTAAGATTGTTCTTGTCGGGAAAATTAAATTCCATCGAAACTATTTCATCAATATTATGGAATACATTTTGTTTCAGCTCTTGGAGTTGTAGTATTTCGCAGTTACCAGTGCTCAAGTTTCGCACTTTAAATGTTCCACCTTTTCGCAATAAGTCGTGAGCCATCATTTCGAAGAATTTTCTAGACAACGGAGCAGCAGCACCTCCTGCAAGGTTTTTGATTAAACTAATAATACTGTCTTTTGTAGAATTTTTGTATTTTTCATACAAAGCCTTAGATATAATTTCTGAAGCAGGAATAAACTCCTTATCCGTAAAATTTTGTTTAGGGCGAATGAGTATTGCTTTACCGGAATATTTATCTCCTAAATCTTCCCCTTCATTCTCAATGTAATCATGAACATTACATTTAGCTATTACCTCACTAATCTTCGGTTCCTTATAATATTCGCAGAAAATCCGTCGTGGTACACAACCCCATACGTTAATCAATTCCTTGACTCGTCCTTCAGGTATACTATTGTAGTTCAACTTCCATACATCCAAGATTTCCTTTTCTACCCATAAAGATGAGTAATATTTCATAACACCATCTTTCTTCTCAAATTCATGCCACCGGTCATTTCTTGGCGTTGTTAATAATAGTGTGAATTTTGTACCAACATCAGTAGGTGCTATTGAATCTACAATGTAATAGCTATTTACTGGGTCTTCGGAGATTAGGTCAGAAATGATCATTACGCTTTTGTTTGGTTTAATACGAAGAATCAAACCTTCATCAGTGTTTTTGCATAATTGTTCAAAAATGATATCTGTTTCTTGGTACCGACGCATTATAAAAAAAGCGAAATATAATGAGAAGTGTGTTTTACCAGTGCCTGGCGTTCCGATTATAACACACCCATTTAAGCTCAGTTTCTCACGGTCTGTTTCAATCAATTCGATCATCTTGAGATATGATTCTTTGATGTAGATACATTGCTTTGTTACTCCGCGAACTATTGATTCTGGGAGTTTGCATAAGCGTAGAAATTTTGCACATTTATCCAACTTAATATGACCTGAAACTACCAACTTACATTCCTCCCCTTCGTTTAACCTAACTTCCACTGGTTTACCGTCATTTAATATTAATATGTTTTCAGAATTTATCATTACGTTATTCTTTAATACAATTTTATCCTCTTCAACATCCATGTAACACGAATACGGTTCAGAATTCAACACATTTTCGTCAATATAACCCGGTGGCATTATGCAAATAATTTGCGAATTATAAGGGTTTAACCAAAATTCGCAGTAACGAGGAGGAGCAAGTTTACGAATAGACTCTTGAAAGTCACCTGAACGTTTCACTTTAGATATCTAAAAGGTTATTTGACACGTTATGTTGAACAATTATTACGATGCAAAGGCTTACCTTGCAGTTCATCTAAATTAAAGGCACATGATAAAGAACAAAAAAAGTTTAGTCGTAACGTCACAAACAATATAATGGCAAATTATTCGATAACATACCGGATATATTACTAAGGAAATCTTTCAAAAGGCTCTTTTTATCTTCAGGCTTTTCGTGACTTTTAAGGGCCAAAAGCAACCTATTTTCTTTTTCTGGATTGTTAATAAGATGTATTTGTAGTATTTTAGATTCTTCTTTTTCGAGAAGGCTATCAATGATTTCGTAAATGTTAGACATATTGTTAAAGATTTGGTTTGAAAGAAGTAAATATAATGAAAGCAGATTTTCTGGAGAGGTTTGTATTAGACTTGTATATATATGATTCGGAATAACTTTTATTATACTACATTAATTATGTGAACGCGTTAGTTTTGTTATAACGCGCTGCCAAACATCAAGAATGTGACACGTGGTAATGCTTATATAAGATAATTTGATTGATGTACTGCGCCACACTTTTGGCGTGTATCAGGTGATCTCAAGAAAATTAAAGTTTTGATCGCTAAAGAAAAAAATATTGAACTTTTTGACGTCTAAAAATTTTGCTTCAAGAATTTTACTTATTAGAAAATTTTGTTAAAAAATTACCTTTTTAAATCTGGATCAGTTGCTTACATAAACACGTGAATTACACAAAGTAATAATTTTTTTAACAAATTTTGTTTCTTCAAATAAGTAAAAATGGGTCGTAAAAACGCTAAAACTAATCCTAAATCTCATACATTAAAAAGATTTTCTAAACAAAAAATGAGAAAAAAATTAAGAGATATATGTGGTGCGTGTACAAAATTTTTATTATGCATTACTAACAAAATCTATGTAATATTATTCGCCAAAGCCGAAAATCGCGAAAAGGCTGAAAAAGAAGCACAAGAAAAAGATATACCTGAAAAAGAAATACTGCTTTAAGTTTTATTTGACATAAAATCTAGTGGTAATAATCCAAATTATTGCTTTTCGTTAGGACGAAAAATCAAATTATATCAATTAGTATAAAAGGGTTTCTTAAAAAAACTCTAGCAATTAAAAATATTAAAATAAATGTTTTAATATTTGACATGTCTTTCCTTTTGTTAATCATAAGAAAAAATTTCTTCAAATAAATTTGTATTTTTCGTTGAAAAAATATTCTGATTATTATTTATTTAATTATTGATTTTCATTTTCATATTAATATTATATTTATTTTGGAATGGTTTTATTTAAGTATCATGTCATTGTTATTATATTCCTAATCCCTTGACCAATCAATTATTTCTGATGAACTGCAAATAAATATGTAAATTATTGCTTATTCAATCATGTATTCCAAACATATACTGTTGCTATTGCAGAATAAATAACTTGTCAAGCTCCAGTAGTCAACTATTGATTTTAAAATGCAAGTATAAATATTATTTAATAGTTTAAATAATTAAAACCAAAATCTATATGACCTAGTTATAATTGAAGATAAAGCAGATATTTATTACAAAACATTATAAACAAATATTTGTATTTATCCTTCTTAAAGCTGGTCTTATTTTCACCACATCTACAGTAAATCATAAATTGGAAAATTTAAATCAAATAAAAATTGATTAAGATGATTGAAGTTAGTCTATAATAAAAAGAAATTTTTTAAATTAATTCAACAAAATTGATATTTTCAATAAAAATTTCAAGAAAACAGCATCAAACATATCAAAATGTTAAAAGAGAATTTGTAAAAAAAATTTTGAAAAATCTAAAATATTGGTGAAGTTTATGCTAAAAATTTGCTATCAGAAGTCTTTTAGCTTACAGTATACTTAAAAAGATATAAACAAGCATACTTATTTATAGATGCCTTTTGTTTTAAACCAAAAAAATCCAATTGCTTATTTTTAGATTGAATCATTCTGCAGTTATTTCATTGAAGATTATTTTGACATTTCAGGTTGTTAGGATACTAGGCTGATAGGATGACAAAATAGCAGGATGTCAGGTTGTCCTAATAATTTTTTTTTTATAAATACAAAATGGAAATCCTTAAAAAAACTTTAACATTCCAAGCTTACTCTTCTTGTATACACCTTAAAAAACCTTCCTTTATCTTTTTGCAATAATTTTACTTTCACTATTTAACATTATAATATTTAATTTGTAACTTCATTTATTTCTTAATTTCTAATTTTTCTTATAATTTTATTACACAATTTTCATAATTACGTAGTTTTAATTAATTAGAGTTTTATTAATTGACATTATGATAGTATAGAGCACTAATGTTAAGGCAATACTAATTAATTTGAAATTATTATATAAATTTAACATTAATATTATTTTATATTTACTCAATAAAAACATTTTTCTTGTATTTAAAATTGTTTATAAATATAAATGAAAAAACTGAATACAACGTCACTATCTTAGCATATCTGCATAGTTAAAATAATTATAAAGACTAGCTACAATTAACAAGCATAAATTGTGATCTTTTAGGAGGAATCATATACTAAATATCGAAATACATAATTTGTTAAAATAAAAAAAGTAATTTGAATTTATTAATATATGGTTTAGGTACTTTACAAAAGCCATTTAGCTTAATTATGTTTCTAAAACCTCTTGGCTTAATTATATTACCAAGACAGCAAACAATACATTACAACATCAATATTCCATTTGTGAACTGGTCAGAATTAATTTTTATAGTCTAACTAAAATTAACATATTGCACAAATTATCATCAGTTTTTTCTTACTGATTATATTTAGGATCTATAATGATATATTTGTTTGCAAATATTTATTATAATATTTGAAAGACTAAAGCTATAAAGATTGTAACACTCTTTATGAGAATCTTCAGTAAACAAATATAAGGATAAGTTCAGTAAGCCTAATACTTAAAGAAAAACTATATAAAATGAGGAAATTTTGTTATACATTATCAAGATACAATCATTCCATCAATAATTTCAATTGTAACTTTAATCTGATTTGCTTATAAATACATGTCTTTAAGCTACACTCTACTAAGAATCTCTTTATAAAATTCAAATATTTTAAAAACATTTGTGATATTTTCTTCAAATACTTCTAAAATCATCATGAAAATTCACACTTACATCCTTATTATCGTCATTTAAGCTTTTAGTAAAGTTGCTTTCTCAGCTCTTTCTTTTAATAAGAAACACTCAAGCTTGGTGAAAAAATGCTGTGATAGCCTTGTACTGAATGTTGTGCTCCTTGTGAAGCTTATTATAGCTAAACTAAACTTGTCCCCCGTAATTAAATCTCAAATGTTGTAATGTGCAACAAATGATCCCTTTTGTTGCAACAAAACCGTAATATTACAATATACCGTACCGTAATTTTGCAATATAACGT